GGTGTTTGAGACACTTCTGTTCTTTTGATGAGATAATGAGAAAACGCCAAACGTCTGTTAAAGACTCAAGATGAGATAAAAATCATAATCTGACATCATCTGATGTGGAGACGTCTTAAAGCAGACGTTACATGTTAAAGACTCTAGTTTGGCCTTGTGATGATAAACGACCCGGCTCACCTCATTAATAAGAGACGGGACAGATGTTGCTCCGTGGTGTTTGAGCGGTGTGAGGACATGATGGATGTGAGTTCTGATCTGACTGATTCTCTGAGAACAGACCTGGACAGTCTCTGTGTGTGACGGAGAACTCAACACAAACATTACAACAGTGAAACAGATTCTGTGCTTGTTGCAGCTGAACGCAGAGTTGAACATGCATTCTTATTTCAAAGTCTAATATAGACCGTACTCCTACTGCGGCCATGTTGCCATGACGACACGCTCAGGGTAGGTCGCAAATCTGAGCAACTGTTTTCATTTCCAAGCTTCCAGAGTGACGATTAAGTACAGAGACAACCGATCATATTATGAGTTAAAAAAAAACATAAAACTATTACACTTCCTGTCAGCACCTCTGGTCACTCCCTGGTCACTTCCTGTCAGCACCTCTGGTCACTGCCTGTCAGCACCTGTGTGTCCGATCACACTTAAAGCTCTCTAGGTTTTCGCTGATGTTTGTCTCTTTGGATAAAAGCGTCTGATAAATGAATTGTAGAATATTTAATAACCTGTAAGATACGGCTAATGTTAGCATTCAGCCACTTCCTGTTTAAAGTCCCCATGAAACAGGAATTTATTGGATCGTTGAAAAGTTTAAAAGCTTTTTAATTGGTTGAAAAAAGGTAACGCCCCTTTTAGTGCAGTTTGAAATGTTTTATATGAAGAGAAAATACATTTTTAGATGTAAAACACTCTTAACACACACTTCAAATATATTTATTAGTTAAGTGAACATTTATCACAGGAAACTGTTTCATGGCGACTTTTGAACGTTCACATCTGAGAACCAATGAAACGATATAAAAGTTCATAATCGCTCGTTTCGAGGGAAATGATTTGAGCCTGAGATCAAACTAACTGAAACTAAGTAAAGAGAAAAAGTTTGAATTTGATGAATTCATACTGAACTGTTCTCAGACTCAGTGGAAACTCTGTGTCTGCTTTACATAAACATTTCTTAAGGCAGCTTATCGTGACCTTGACATTCTGACTGGTGGGGGGCGTGGCCTGACAGAGTTTGGGGGTATAAAACTGCAGTGACACCTCCACTCTGCCCCGCTCTCACTTCTCCCACAGAGGACCAGCTGACTGAGGTGCTTTCACTGACGGTAGGTTTCAACTTTAACTCACATTTAGTTTGAGGAAAGGATCGTCCAAACGGTGCAGAGGAAGATTTTAGAGAGAGCAGAGTGGATTCTTACACAGATAGAAACTTTTAGTGCAGGCAGTTTTTTTGAGTTTGATTTTAAACTCTGTTCCTGCAGCTCACAGAGAGTTTTTAAATGAAGGTTAAAGTCGTCTAGTTTTGTATTTAATGGATGTTTGAGCTCTGTGTTTCTTGCAGCATGTAAACAGTGAAAATCTTTGGAGAATATGTTTGAAACATGTCTTCCATCTTTTCTCTTCCAGTGAGGACGAGAACATATCAGACAACATGGTGAAGATCGGAGTCAATGGGTGAGTTGCTGCTCTTTTCATTCATTCAGCTTTTCTCATGTGTCAGCTGGTGGCTGTTTGGTCCCCAGGGTGTCGGACTCGATCTGTCATTAGAGTCCATGAACTGCAGAAGATTCACTCATACTGTTCTCATTCAATCAGTCTGATGCTTCAAACATTTATTATAAATACAGATGAACCCAAGACGTAGCACCAAACATGGAACAACAGAGTTTGTAAAGTTCCTCATGTCACACGTCGACATGCAGCAGCTGTTCAGTGTGCAGTCCAGGTGTCCAACAAAGTGCAGCAGGTGCACGACCTCCAGACCTTTATGAACGCTGCTCCCCTCCACAGAGAGACTTACATAAGAGCAGCGGGGGAAATCTCTCTTTTCCTTAATCGGTAATAATATTACAAGAATCAGATGGACCCTCCAATGAACACCACAGAGTGGATTTTAATTATTCCACTTCAAGACAAAGAGCTTAAGAAAGGAAAGTGGAGGAATGTGCTTCAGTGAGGAGGAGATGATGATGAAGGGGAAAGTTTCAGTGTGGCTAGAAGAGTTTAAAAAACTTAAAAGCAGAAAAGTGTCTCCTTCAGAAAACACTCCACGAGGACGGAGGAGACTTCCTGTTTAGTCTCTTTGATATTTAAAATATCCAGCTCTCATGTGAAAGTTGTTTTATTGTTTTATTTGCATTGTTGCAGCATTTCAGTTCTGCACATGTTGCTCTCTGAGTATCATGCAGCAGCCTCACATGTGTCATAAAGAAGTAGAACTTGTAAATCTTTAAAACAACGAGTGAACAAGATGTCAGACGTTTGTTTAAACCTGAAGAGACTTTCAAACTGTCTGAATTAATAAATAATGTGGTGGGAGCAGCTCTGGTGTAGGAATGAAACACATCAGATAAAAACATTCAAATAAATAAATTCAAATAAACAAATGCACCCTGTGGACAGGACTGTGGACAGGACTGTGGACAGGACTGTGGACAGGACTCGTCTATTATTCTCTGGTTATTTATAGTCCGGTGGTGTTGTGGTGTCACGGTTGGCGACCCCTCTTCTTCCACACCCTTCAGACCCCCCCTCCCCCCTCCCCCTCCGTCTGTATCTCTGCTCCTCTCAGCTGTCACATTCCTTTTATTCTCCCCTCGACTATTTTTAACCCTCTAACCTTTCTGCTGAAGTTCAGAGATCATCCGGACGCCTTTTTTATGGACAGCTTGCGCTCTCGTGACTTGGAGATAGACGAGGAAGCTTTTCCTCCTCCTCCTCTTCCTCTTCCTCCTCCTCCTCCTCCTCCTACCTCTTCTTCCTCTTCCTCCTCCTCCTCCTCCTCCTCTTCCTCTTCCTCCTCTGTGAAACAGCTGCAGGGAGATTTAGCTCTTTAATCCTGTCTTCATACCAACACAGAACAGAGTCTCCTTCTGGTTTGTCTGTGGTGAGGAGCAGTTTCCTCTTCCTCGTGGAGGAACAGAGAGCTCACTATTGATGTGCTCCCACTGTGCCAGTTAAATCCACTCAGCTAACTAACCACCTGAACTCTAACCAATATTCCCTCTCAGCTGGAGGTCATCGTTTATTTCCTGCCATCGATTCTCTCGTTCGTATCGCACTCAAAGGCATGACAGGAATCTCTGTTGCTAACGGTAACCAAACAAAAAAACACAACTGAAGTTACAAACTAACTCGGGTTTAGTGCGGACGCCAGAACTTAAGAGCTGCGGCAACAGGCCACAGGTCTGTGGTAACCATGGAAACAAAGAGAGTATAGCAAGAGCGCAGGAGACTGTTTTGGTTGCTCGGCAACAGGTCAGATTCAACAAAGATGTTAAACTTGATTCATTAATGCAGCAAAAATGTATATTCTTGTTTTCTTCTTTATGTTGGGAACGTTTGTGTAAAGTAAGATCACACTCGAGGTCGAAATGTTGTTCTGGTTATCAGACTGACGTGGTTATCTTCCACGCTCGCTCTGTTCCCCTCGTGTGCCTGTGACTGATTCACAGCGGTGCTCACACTGCAGCACGCTGTTCATCCTCAAAGCTCCACGCTAAACACTTGTTGCTAACGTTTAGGATTAAAAACACTGTCATATGAAAAAGCTAATGCTACACTGTTAGCATTAAACTTTCCAAACAGCCGTAGTAAATGACCTTCAGCATCTTGACGACCTTCACGGCTGCTGCTGTGACTTCCTGGTGCATTTTGACCTTTCTGTAGACCGACCAGGCTCTAATGTTGGCAGAGTGCGATTGTTTCCATAACAGCGGTGTTACGTTTCAAACGGTCCCACAGTGAGTATGTAATGAGACTCTGATGTGAGGTTATGTAACTCAGTCAGCGCTGAACCTTTCTGATTCTCAGCCTGTGATTTAAGTGCTTATCTCTGAAGAAGCAGAGCAGGATTCTCTGGCACAACTTCACAAACTAACAAGGTGCAAGAAGAGGTCAACATGCTCCAACAACACCTGAAGTATGAAGATCCAGGGGTCAGACCCTGAGGAACACCACAAGCCGAAACACAAATTTTATCTTCATACTTCAGGTGTTGCTGGAGCATATATCTCAAAAACATTTTTTTACAGATCATGTGATGCAGAAAACAGAGCTTAGAGTGATTTAATAAATGATGTCATCGCACACTTTGTCCAGCAGGGGCTCGAAATCCTCTCAGCACGGTCTGAAGCGTGCACTAGAGCTGGTCACCATCAGCGCGATTCTAGAGCCTGTTGGGACCCGAGGTGAAAATCATTTGGGGGGGCCTCTCCAACCAATGTTCAGCAGAGCAACCAGAATGAGTGTTGTCAGCTGGGGCCCCCTTAGGGACATTTTTTGCACATTTTGGGGCGCTGGTGGCGCAGTGCTTAGAGCGCGCGCCCCATGTATTGAAGCCTTAGTCTTCCAAGTGTGCAGCCCAGGTTCGAATCCAGCCTGTGACTCATTTCCCGCACGTCATTCCCTACTCTCTCTCTCCCTGATTTCCAACTCTATGCACTCTCCTATCTCTCCATTAAAGGCACAAAAAGCCCCAAAAAATAATCTTTAAAATTTGCACATTTTCGGCCGCTGCTTTGGGGCCCCCTACTGGTCATGGGTCCCAAAGAAGTTGCCTGCCCTGCCTGTTGACAAGCAGCGCCGCTGGTCAGCAATGAACTTCATCGCTCACTATTCATGGATTGATGTATTTATGTGAGAAAGCTGCCTCAGTAACTTTTTATCGTCGTACTGGTGCAAAATCCATAAAACAGAAAGTCACTTTTCATTCAAACCTCTAAGAACAAGAAGATCGTTCACAACGTCTGTGAATATTTTCCTTACAGATCAGTTTGGATCCCAACAGTTCTGTATCAGTCGGTCTCCAGTCTATGAATTTTTCCAATAGTTAGCATCAACCGTGCTCTTTAAGTGCCCTTGAGCATGGCTTCAGTCAACTGTTGACCCCAGACACAGAAAGGTCATGTGTGCTTTTCTTCAGGTGACTGTATGACTTCTAATGCACGTGATAAATGAGCTTCTTAAAGAGTTGTTTGAACAGTTTGGAGGTGTTGACTTAACAAAGAGAGACATCGTGCCTGCAGCCGCCTCGTCTGAGCTCTTGGGAAAGATTCAACAGAACATATCAGATAAGAGTTATTCTTACGTGTGTGTGTGTGTGTGTGTGTGTGCAAACATGGATTTCAGACAAACTTTCCTTAATATGAGGAAACTGATTCCTTCATTGAGATTCATTCTTTAAACCTTCTGAATAACTCTGGGCTGCAGATTTTGGCCGAGGCGATGATGGCCGCTGGGTTACGAGGTCGTTGATGAGGTCGTTTAATTTTGACTGTTTTATGAAGCTGTGGAGAAGAATTACGGACACGAGGACACGAGCAGCGCCTCCTCTTTAGTTTAACTTAAACCTTTCACATCTCCGACCTTCACTCAACAAATCAAGTGTTCCCAGGCGCTCACATTTTACTGAAGGCATCAAACAGCCACGTTAGAACTTTTTTAATTTTCCTCCAGTTGATGTTTGTTGATGACCTTTTTACAGGTCGATGTTAGAGCAGCTCTTCTTCCTCTCTCCTTCCTCTCTTCTTCCTCTCTTCTTCCTCTCTCCTTCCTCTCTTCTACCTCTCTTCTTCCTCTCCTCTCTCCTTTCTCTCACCTTCCTCTCTCCTTCCTCTCTCCTCCTCCCTTCTTCGTCTCTCCTTCCTCTCTTCTTCCTCTCCTCTCTCCTTTCTCTCTTCTTCCTCTCTCTCTCTCCTTCCTCTCTCCTTCCTCTCTCCTCCTCCCTTCTTCCCCTCTCCTTCCTCTCTCCTTCCTCTCTTCTTCCTCTCCTCTCTCCTTTCTCTCTTCTTCCTCTCTCTCACCTTCCTCTCTCCTTCCTCTCTCCTCCTCCCTTCTTTGTCTCTCCTTCCTCTCTTCTTCCTCTCCTCTCTCCTTTCTCTCTTCTTCCTCTCTCTCTCCTTCCTCTCTCCTTCCTCTCTCCTCCTCCCTTCTTCCCCGCTCCTTCCTCTCTCCTTCCTCTCTCCTTCCTCTCTCCTTCCTCTCTCCTCCTCCCTTCTTCCCCTCTCCTTCCTCTCTCCTTCCTCTCTTCTTCCTCTCCTCTCTCCTTTCTCTCTTCTTCCTCTCTCTCTCCTTCCTCTCTCCTTCCTCTCTCCTCCTCCCTTCTTCCCCTCTCCTTCCTCTTTCCTTCCTCTCTCCTTCCTCTCTCCTCCTCTCTCCTCCCTCTCCTCTCCCTCTCTCCTTCCTCTCGTCTGTTCCTGATTGAACATCTCTGCCCTCTGTTAGTCCCCCTCTCCACTTTCTCTCCTCTTTCTCGCCCCTCGCTGTAGCAGCAGCCTTATTAGGCATCAACAGGCTTTGAGCCGACGCTGCCAACTTTAGTTATCTGGAGTCGAGGTTGGCAGGCCTTGTACGGCCCTGCTGTCCTCTGCTGTGGCTCCTGTTTTAGTTTGAGGCTATAGTGTAGTGCCCCCTGCTGGTCAGAGAGGAGGAAGGTGGTGTGAGCTGGATGAATGCAAGCTTTTTTTTATTTGACGAGCTCTAGTCCCTGAAACTCAATCTCATATTTCATTTTTGAATTTGTAATCTTGTCGCATCTGTTTCCGCCCTGTTGCTTCTGCGCGCTGACCTCGTGCTCCTTTGTTTCAGATTCGGACGTATCGGTCGTCTGGTGACCCGCGCCGCCGCCACAGGAGGCAAGGTGGAAGTCGTGGCCATCAACGACCCCTTCATCGATCTGGACTACATGGTGAGAGGCCTGCCTGTAGTCCTTTGAGCCTTGGAGTGAATTAAACAGAATCTGTAAGATAAGGGAGAGGTTTAGTAAAATCATCTGTAAAACTCATCCTGGGGAAAAGAAAACAAATCAAGATGTCAACATCATGTATACAGAGAATTTATTTTAAAAAACAAAAAGTTTAGAAACCTGCCTGCAGAGATGTGACGCTTCCTGCTGCAGGTTTTTCCACAATAAAAGCCTCTTTCCTCCGAGTGTTTCACATGTTGTTTAAACTTATAATTTCCTCTAAGCTGCACATTTTAATTCTTGTTTTTCTAACACACCCTAACTGCTCTGCTGCAGGTCTACATGTTCAAATATGACTCCACTCACGGCGTGTTCAAGCACGGAGAGGTGAAGGCCGAGGGCGGCAAGCTGGTCATCGGAAACATGCACATCATGGTGTTCCACGAGTACGTGCTCCCTAAAACTTCAAGATTTGAACCCCTTTAAAAGTGTTCATCCCTCAGGCAGCTGCTGCAGATCGTTTATTACATAATCCTGTTTGAGTAGATGGACATGAAACCTCAAACAGTTAAAACATTCTACTTCCTGTTTGTTTTCAGGAGAGACCCCGCCAACATCAAATGGAGCGATGCTGGCGTGGACTACGTGGTGGAGTCCACCGGTGTGTTCACCACCATCGAGAAAGCCTCTGTACGTTTTCTAAACTCGTCCTGGTTTTAGAGACATGAGTTATTTATTTAATGAACTTTTTCTAGTTCCACACGTTTGACCTCTCGTGTTTCCGTAGGCTCACCTGAAGGGCGGAGCCAAGAGGGTGGTGATCTCCGCTCCCAGCGCCGACGCTCCCATGTTCGTCATGGGCGTCAACCACGAGAAGTACGACAACGCCATGAAGGTTGTCAGGTGAGTCTCTGCTGGTTACAAACATCAAATTTAAACGTTGGTTTGGAGACATCGTGTGGCTTTAACCTCGGGGTTAGCTGATGGCGTTGGCGTCTCCTTCCGTTAGCGAGACACAGCACGGCGACTCTTTTACAATCTCGACAGCAGCATGTCAACATCTGTGCCAAGACGAGACGTCAAACTGACATCACCTGCTAGGTCTCTAACCAGTCTCTCCTGTCTCGTCTCCATAGCAACGCTTCCTGCACAACCAACTGCCTGGCCCCCATCGCCAAGGTCATCAACGATAACTTTGGAATCGTTGAGGGTCTCATGGTGAGGAACCCAGATGTTTTTACTTCCTGATACAGCTGTCAATCAAACGTTACACTCTGATGTTAGAACGTAACTCTTTGTTACATTCTGCTCCTCTCTCCTTCAGAGCACAGTCCACGCCATCACCGCCACACAGAAGACCGTTGATGGTCCTTCTGGTAAGCTGTGGAGAGACGGACGTGGCGCCTCCCAGAACATCATCCCCGCCTCCACCGGAGCCGCCAAGGCCGTGGGCAAGGTCGTCCCCGAGCTGAACGGGTACGATGAACGTTAATCTTAATTTAAAATGTGTTGAAAACAATCTAGACGTGTCTGAAAAACTATGAGGTGTAAGAAGGAGGACGCTGTTTGACTTTTTTAAACCCGGTTCTGGTTCTTACAGGAAAATCACCGGTATGGCTTTCCGTGTCCCCACCCCCAACGTCTCTGTGGTCGACCTGACCGTCCGTCTGGAGAAGCCTGTAAGTCTCTACGTCCTCACAGGCGCCACTGTCAGTCACATGAGAGTTACATCATCGACTGTTTGGTTTCACATGATGAGAAGCTCAAGCTCATGAAGTAAAAATGTTTTAAAGTTTCAACTCAGATTTTAATCTATAAATAATATTTAAATGTTCCTCTGCTTCAGGCCAAGTATGAAGATATCAAGAAGGTGATCAAGGCCGCTGCTGAGGGACCAATGAAGGGAGTTCTGGCATACACAGAGGACCAGGTGAACATTAGTTCTTCTTCTTCTTCCTACAGGACACTCGACCTCTGCAGGAAGCATGTAGTCATGACTGAGCCGTACATGAGCCACTAGGTGGCAGCAAATCTTTAACAATGTGGCAGCTAAAGGTGTCACTGCATCTGGATTTGAGCTCTTCAGAGTATTTTCACAGCATTAGTAGTAATCATTTATTACATTTTGACAGAAAAGGTTTAGGCTGAAGCTTTATCTTATTACACCTCCCCTTGTTACAAATCTTTATTATTTACGACAAAAAAAAAACATATCAGAACAAAATTTGTTCCAAGAATTTCTTTCAAAACAAAACAAATGAAACAAAAAATAATCAAACCGACTTTTTATATTTGTTAAACACCATTTTTTTAAACAATAATTTAAATCTGGAAAGTGAACTACACATTGTTCATTCCATTAGAACATCGGTGTAAATGACCCCGGTCCAGCTAAGGTCACTTCAAGCTCCTAAAAAGAAAACAAAAAATGGCGACTGCTGAGATGCTGAACTCGAGGCTTCAAAGTTCACAAACCAGTTCCTCAGTGACCGTCTTTAAGTCTTTAAGGTCGTATCTTAAGTTTAAACATTTGTCTCTGCTCAGGTCGTGTCCACCGACTTCAACGGCGACCCTCACTCCTCCATCTTCGACGCCGGTGCCGGCATCGCTCTCAACGAACACTTCGTCAAGCTGGTTTCATGGTGAGGGCTGAAACAGCGCCCCCTGCTGTTAGCTGACTTAACCATCACTTCAGACATGACAGTCATCACTGGATATAAAGATATAACATGATTCTGTGTTTGTCTGCAGGTATGACAACGAGTTCGGGTACAGTAACCGTGTGTGCGACCTGGTTCAGCACATGTTCACCAAGGAGTAAAGTCCTCTGACCACGCCTCCTTTCCTTCCCATGATTCCCTCCTCCTTCACCTGTGACCCCCGGGAGCAAACTCTTCTACGACAAACGCCTTGCTGATGATGAAACCTTTTTATACTGCACAGTCTGGTCGGTTGCGTCGGATGGCGAGGACCAGCGGGCGCCGTTTGTAGAGCTGATTGGTGATGTACTGAACGGTTTTGTTGCACTGAACATGCACAGTGGCTCCTTTGCACTTAACATGATAATAAAGCCCTCAGTTTGTGGAAAGACCCGAGACTTTGATTTTTATTTTGACACAGATCAGAGTTCACTTGTCGCTCTAAACGGTAGGATGGTTTTATTTGACTTTAGTGTCGACTTTAGTTCCTGGTTTAGACCTTGACATATGAAAATGGGCATCAACTTTTTTTAATTTTGTATAATTTTTATTATAGTAACACCCAATAGACAAACAAAAACACAAGCGGTACACTTCACCTCTCATAAAGCCAGGACAAAACAAAACACAGTAAAACAAAGAAAAACAAAAACGAACAAAAAATTAAAATAAAAAAGTAAGACTCTTCCCGCCTCCATCAACCATCAAACTAGTTCCTGCCCTCCCCCATCAAACCCCAATCTTTATAAATGGAAGATAAAAAAGATAGTAAACAGAAGGAAGAGTCAGTTACTCAACATGTCAGAAAACATTTGTAACCGAAAAAAAACAAAACCTAACCCTAGTCTTGAATTTTCATAATCGTTCAAACTCAGTGAATGAAAATTTTACAACATAAACATTTTAAGCATTCTTTGTTTAAGGAAGATGAAAGAGGGGGAGGAACATCTGGATGATTGCTTTCCTAAGATTCAGATGTGAGTGTATTGGGTCAAATAATTATCTTTAATATAAGTCATGCACAGGCTGGTTGTGTTGAAATTTTGTTCAGAATCCAAAATGAAAATCTTGTAGAGAATCTGAAGGCAGAGAGAGTAAACAATGAAAACTGTAAACACTGACTGATATCACCTAATGTCAGTTAAGATCTCCTGAGGGTCAGACTGTCTTTACACTAAATCTCCTCTAGAGGGCGACATAACCTTGAGATTTGTCAGAAGAGTCAGGGGTCACCAGACAGAACTGATATTTATTTTAACAGATTATCAGATTTGTTGTTTCGCCTTGATTTAAGGTCAGATGTCCCTCTGGACTTTTCACAACAAAACATATAAGGAGAGGGATTTGTTGGACCTCACATTTTGACCCTCTCCATCCTGATCGTCTGTGAGGTGTCCAGGTGTTCACACTGAATCAGAAAAAAAGGGCGCAGGTAAACAATTCATCAAAAATACTTCAAGAGCGATGAAGGAGACTTTTATTCTGGTGATCATTTTTGGCAGAGATCTCGATCACAAATTGCATCTAAGACCATCAAACACAGAGAGAGAACCTGGAGAGGTCTGAAACTGCTCGCAAGACAAAAGCTCGAACCAGTTTCTTTTTAGACTGTTGATATATAATGTTGGTTATTTTTCCTTTAATATTAAATATGTGCATTGAAGCTTCACCTGCATTTTGTTATTGACTGTATATAAGAACTGGACGTAACCTCTGGGTTTTAAAGTGAAGCTAATACAGAAGTGGGATCAACCTGCATTTCCTTGAAGAGCCAGCAGGGGGCAACATGGAAGAGAACTTCATTTCTCAGTTAACGTTTTCCAAATACATCTTTTAAAACACAGTCTGATGTTTATTTGGTAAATTAAAGCTACGTTTAGAGCGAAGAAGCCGGGCTTACTTGAGGCCGGTTTACACTTCATATTCTGCTAAACGTATTCCAGTGTGGGCTCACAAATGAGGCGACGCCTGCGAGCTAGTTCAGGCAGACACCAATCACCTGACGACACCTCCTGACGTTAGCAGCATATTGAAGCTGCAGGATCTCCACTCTCTCCTCTCTCTCTGCTCCTTCATCACCGGCTCTGACCTGCAGCAGAACTCTCCCTAAGCCCCGCCTCCACCCCATCATCCACCTGAAGGCTCCCACTGAGGGGTTAAATATATCACCCCATCACTCCTCAAAGGTCTGCGTGTAAATTAAAACTGTGAGGTGTGAAGAGGGCGGAGCCTAAACACTGAACACAGACTACTCGATGTTCTGCGTCAGTAAATGCATTTATTTTAAACGATACAAACTTGGGTTGTCTGACTGAGTTAACGTTTGTCGTCGTGCAAACTTTCAGTTCTTAATTTCAGAAAATGAAAAGTCAAATTATAAATATCAAGTGCAGCGTCATGTGAAGTTTTTTTATTCAAGACAGACAGGAACAGACAGTTTGGAGAGAGAGAGAGGGGGATGACGTGCAGCAAAGGGCCGAGGCTGGGCTCAAACACAGCTGCTGCGACACGGACCTCTGTACTTTGTTTGTGCAACTTAACCACTAGGCCATCCGTCTGTTTAAACGTTACTTTAGATTTTTTTTAAAGATTTTTTTTGGCCATTTTGAGCCTTTATTGGAGAGACAGGACAGAGGATAGAGTCGGAAATCAGGTAAAGAGAGAGAGTAGGGAATAACATGCAGGAAAAGAGCCACAGGTCGGATTCGAACCCGGGCCGACTGCTTAGAGGACTATATGGGACGCGCGCTCTTAACACTGTGCCATCAGTGCCCACCTTTTTTTTTTTTAGATTTTATGAGTCATGATGAAGCTTCATTTCTATTTTCAGGGTTCTTTTTTAAGTCTTTTAAAATGAGCCGATCTTAAAAACATCCGTCTTCTTGAACGTCCTGACGCATGTGGAGACTCTCTGATCCTGAGTCGACTTTAAAGGAACTGATTCAAGTTTCACAGTAAAGGAAGGAGTTTAAAAAACACGACGTTCTAGTCTTGACCTCGTCCTGTTTCTAAGAGTTCAACTTTAAAAACATGTGTGAGAATCAAGAATCTTTTAGTGATTTTTAACAACTTTGTTTATTGAGAAGGAAATAAAGTGCAGTTTGTTTGTACAGAATCATAAATGTTGTGTTTAATATGAACAAAAGCAACAACTAGAGCCGACAAACTATCACAACAAACGACACAGTGTGTGTTCAAGGTCAACAGTGTGTGTGTTCAATCTGAAAATGGATCACAGAGATGGAAAAAGGATCGAAATATAGAAACATTCTTTCTGAGTTTTTGAGCATTTTCTTTGGATGTTTAAAAATGTAATTTGATGTCGTTCAGCACATTAAGGTCCTGAGGAGGTTTATTACACACCGTCCTCTCCTCTAGAAGCTGTGAAGTGAGAAAGAGACAAAGAAACAAAAACACTAATAAATGTTTTGTTCAGTTTCATACTTAGAGGAATAACGTCTTCACTGGAATGGCAGATGTCAGATGCACTTCCAGACAGACAGACAGACATTTGAATCAATCAATATCCCTGTCATTGAAGAAAGTCTACTTCAAGTTCACACGTCCTCAGGGGCGTCTGCAGCCGGCTGCTCATTTTGTCCGGGGGACTCGGCTGACCCCTGAGCCTCTGCAGGGGATTGTCCTGATGCAAATCAGGAGGGGGAACCAATTCAGCGTCGCACAATTCGATTAGACATCTGCATATTGAGCATCTGCACCCCATAAAAATCTGCCAATACTTACCCCCCTCCCCCACTTTCTCTCACGACCCCAGGGGCAGCCCCCCCCCCCCCCCCCCCCCGTCCCCTCGTCCCCTCCTGACCCTGTCAGGCCCGGCTACAATACCTGACCCCGCCCCAGAGACGGGACGAGTGGAGTTCAAGGTAAACGTCTTTTCTCTGCGTCTGTCTGCACGCCGCCCTGTCCGGCCCCCGTCCGGCCCCCGTCCCATAATCACATGCACCGCTCTTTTTTTAAACGTTCTCACACACACACACACACACACACACACACACACACACACACACACCCTGCACTGATTCTTCATTTCAACATGTTTTCAGAAGCATTCTGTGAAAATGAAAACTGTCATTCTTGGAGCTTCTCCTTTGTCATCGTACTGACTGCGGTGAGGGCCAATCAGAGACCTTCCCTCCTTTTTTATCCTTCTTATTGAACCATCAGGAACTCTTTCAGTCCCAACAGCAAGTTCAAAACATTTCCAACACCACCCAGTAAAGTGAAGATGTGTACCTGAACCAGCAGTTAGGACTGGAGCTGGAGGTTTAGTTATTGATCATACATCAAGAGGCTTTTATTAATAACATAAATCTATTTATTAAAAGACCAAAAACATTTATAAAGAGTGAAAGTTCTAACCATAGTATCGGTCTGATTCAATGATGAGTGAAGAATCTGTATTTGACTCATCATGTGTCAATGGATACCTCAAATATTTTTCTATCTCTTATTTGTGAGTCGACAAACAAATCAAAACAGTCTCTGTTGACACTTCAGTGAAGGTGAATACAAACCAACAGTCGAGGCTCTTTACTGATCATGTTTCATCCATTTCAAATGAAAACTGTTCAACGTCCTCCTCAAAGTTATTGGCAGGCTTTTGGTTAATCATTGATCTTAAAGAACAGGGTTCAAAGATGAAATGAGTCTGGTGCTTTCTGAGTTCAGCTGAAATCTCAAACAGCTGTGGTCGTGGCAGACGTGTGGAAATGACAGACGTGTGGAAATGACAGACGGGTGGAAATGACAGACGGTGGAAATGACAGACGGGTGGAAATGACAGACGTGTGGAAATGACAGACGTGTGGAAATGACAGACGTGTGGAAATGACAGACGTGTGGAAATGACAGACGGGTGGAAATGACAGACGGGTGGAAATGGCAGACGTGTGTTGATTCAGATCTCTATATGTATGTTTGAGTGTGCATGCCCAAAGACGAGGATGTCCAACTTCATCTGGTGGCATCATGTCATCCTTCTGTCAAGCTGACCCGTCACGTCTCGTCCACAGTGCTGCAACAAGAATTTAAACTCCACATGAGCTGTTTTCTATCATGAACAGAACAGAACCCATCCTATCTTCACCTGGATCCTAAACAAAATACAGCATGAAGTCACGGGTGAGCCGATGTTTCAAACATCATCAAAGAAATCTTATCCTATTCAGCCTTGTACATATTAGTCTTTGCTTATTTGTTTATTTTTGTGTTTATTGTTGATATTTGATATTATACATTTGTACAAAGAGAGCACAGTTTACCAAAGTTAAATTCATTGAGTGTTTAAACACCTGGCCAATAAATCTGATTCTGATTCTGATTCTGAAATATTCTGGAAAAATTTGATCACTTTTAAATCCTGCAACTGCT